TTTTGAGTTATTTTTCAACAATTCAAAATTCTCCCCAAATCATTTCAAACAAAACATGTTGTACAAAATTTGAAAATTTCAGTCAAATGCCAAGGGGGCAGTGATACTGGTGTTTGAGTTATTTTTCAACAATTCAAAATTTTCCCCAAATCATTTCAAACAAAACATGTTGTACAAAATTTGAAAATTTCAGTCAAATGCCAAGGGGGGGGGGGGCAGTGATACTGGTGTTTGAGTTATTTTTCAACAATTCAAAATTTTCTCCAAATCACTTCAAACAAAACATGTTGTACAAAATTTTAAAATTTTGATGAACTACCGAGAGGGGACCACAGGCATCCTCTCAGCTTTTCAATATTTCAAACTATTGATTCAATCTAAGGTGTCATATGAGCTGAATATAATGTTTTCTTTTCCAGGCAAGACAGATCAATGTGGATAATGTTTCAACGCTTTATGAAAGTGATATGTTTTCTAAGAACAGATTTGTACATGACAAGAAAAGAAAGCTTATCATTCAGACATTATGAGAAGCCCTAAGAATGTGAACATGTAAGATAATGAATTGAGACATCAATACGTCTGAGGCATCGAGAACCATTACCAAACATAAACAAACCTTACCAAATCAGGTATTATACAAACTATAACTTTATTTCTGTATATGATAATTTAATGCAGTTATTCACCATATTTTAATAAAAAAGTGTGAAAATCAGCCATTGGATTCTCTTGATCCTTTTAAGGTGCAATGCACCCTGTTTGATGCCTCCCATACAGTAGTTAAATATGCTTTGGAAACTCATTAGAATAACAACATAACTCATTATGTATGTTAGTCAATGTTTATTCACAGAGGTTTATTCATAAATTTGTTCCTTCATTGTCACGTGTGTATTGTATTTTTGCCAAATCCACCAATAGCCATTTTCAATTTACCCCATTGTTCCAGTCACAGATGGGTAATTTTCCTAAAACATTGCTATTGGTTAGTTTGGCAGAAATCATTAATCTTACTTACTTACTTACTTACTTACTTACTTACTTACTTACTTACTTACAAATACCCACCCATATACACCCAACCACCCAACCCCAACCCACCCATACCCACCCACCCTAAACCCACCCACCCACCCTAAACCTACCCACCCACCCTAAACCCACCCACCCACCCTAAACCTACCCACCCACCCTAAACCCACCCACCCACCCATATCCAAATAAACCACCCACCCACCCATATCCACCCACCCACCCATATCCACCCACCCACCCATATCCACCCACCCACCCATATCCAGACCTACACCCACCCATATCCACCACCCATAACTCCACCCGCACCCATACCCACCCACCCATAAAACACCCACTCCACCCATAAAGACCCACCCATACCCACCCACCCATACCCACCCACCCATACTCCACCCACCATAAATACCCACCCACCCATACCCACCCACCCATACCAAACCACCCACCCACCACCCACCCATAACCACCCATACCCACCCACCCATACATTTTTTTTTATAAGTATTAAAAAAAAAAAATGGATCTAATGGATACATTGGATTTTAGTTATATAAAAAAAATGGATCCAATGGATCCAATGGATTTTAGTTATATAAAAAAAAATGGATCCAATGGATACATTGGATTTTAGTTATATAAAAAAAAATGGATCCGATGGATCTGATGGATCCGATGGATCCAATGGATACATTGGATTTTAGTTATATAAAAAAAAAATGGATCTGATGGTCCGATGGATCCAATGGATACATTGGATTTTAGTTATATAAAAAAAAATGGATCCGATGGATCCAATGGATTTTAGTTATATAAAAAAAAATGGATCCAATGGATACATTGGATTTTAGTTATAAAAAAAATGGATCCGATGGATCTGATGGATCCGATGGATACATTGGATTTTAGTTATATAAAAAAAATGGATCCGATGGATCCAATGGATACATTGGATTTTAGTTATATAAAAAAAAATGGATCTGATGGATCCGATGGATACATTGGATTTTAGTTATATAAAAAAAAGATGGATCCAATGGATAAGTATTTAGCTATAACTAAATACTTATCCATTGGATCCATCGGATCCATCTTTTTTTTAATACTTATAAAAAAGATGGATCCGATGGATCCAATGGATAAGTATTTAGCTATAACTAAATACTTATCCATCGGATCCATCTTTTTTTTTAATACTTATAAACAAAGATGGATCCAATGGATATGTATTTAGCTATAACTAAATACTTATCCATTGGATCCATTTTTTTTTTAATACTTATAAAAAAAGATGGATCCGATGGATACAATGGACAAGTATTTAGCTATAACTAAATATTTATCCATTGAATCCATCGGATCCATTTTTTTTAATACTTATAAAAAAAGATGGATCCGATGGATCCAATGGATAAGTATTTAGCTATAACTAAATACTTATCCATTGGATCCATCGGATCCATCTTTTTTTTTAATACTTGTAAAAAAAGATGGATCCAATGGATAAGTATTTAGTTATAGCTAAATACTTATCCATTGGATCCATCGGATCCATCTTTTTTTATAAGTATTAAAAAAAAAAGTTGATTTTAAAATGTTTAGTGAGCAAAAATTGTTGTGTTACAGTCGTGGATGGGTGAAACAATATGCGAAAAGCAAAAATAGCGAAGGTAAAGAGATTAAAATTGGATTTAGTGTGTATTTTTTGAAATATTTTACCAACAAACCAAATATGGTAGTTGGGTAGTCCCATAGAAATATTAGATCTATTATTTCTAGGGGTAGTCCCCCCCTCCCCGTCCATGACAACTGTGACGTCAGCTACATACGGGACTTTGGGGGCGGGTTTTGGCGGGAAAATCTGTAATGTTTGGAGAAGACAAGATGGCGCTGGTTACCTCGTGTCATATCAAAGGGCATTTTTGTTCACAAATACCCATTTATTTTACGTTGTAGCGACTGGTTAGTTTTGGAAATTATAACTCAATGGACGGGGAAAACGATTCTGTATTAAAGAGAAAAAGATGTGCAGCTATTGTGATGTTATTTGTTGTGAAAGACGGCCCGAAATTTCGCTACATCGCAGTACTGGTTTATAAAACATTTACAAGCAACAACAATTGAACTATATGACAAAGAAACAAGCCAATCAAGTTCTTCAGTTTAAAGGTCAGTTTACTTTTTAATAATTAGTTCATTTAGTTGTATATTAATACGAATTACGAAGTATTGGATACTAGTAAAAACTTTTTACGAAGTGGCTAATCGTA